AAGGAAATATCTTAGAAAAAGTAACTAGAGTAAGAGAAATAAAACATACTGAGGACTGTACCACAAGGCATCCTATATTGTGGGTAGAAAAATAAACATGAGACCAGGAATTTATATATCTGCCTAGACAGTGAAATAGTCAGAAGCCAGATGAACGATTTGAATGCAGACACTAAATCTTGAGGTGATGGAGGGAAGGGGCAAAGGGAGGGAAAACACACAAACCGTAAGAAGCACGGTGAAGTAGATCCACTTAGGCTGAGGGATATGGAAATTGTAGCATATGCAAGGTGGCCCCTGAGGTGCGTTTCCTTAGTATTTCCTTATGGTAGGCCAGGGGAATTCAGAGAGAAGTTCAGATGATGATATGAAACAAAATGGGGGAATCCAAGATGACACATTCAGTCACCTGCCCTTCATTCTCAGGGACTATCAAGCTACTGAAAGTGTCTGAACGACTGTGTGGTAGGTGTAATATTTTCATAAGATTAATTTGGGAGTGTGGGGAGAGGGGGGTGGGAATCAAAGCAAAGAGAACAGTGAGGAGAATAAATCAAAGAGTCTATGTGAAAAGCATCAAGGGAATGTACTAAAGCTGGAAGCAAAAGGTTTCAAAAGGTGGCATGAAAATAAAGAGCTGTAACAAAAAGGTAGAATCAACAGGATACACTGTTATGAGACTTAGCAAAAGAAAAATGGTTGCAGCAACAGGAGTAGCATAGGACAAGGGAAGACATAAACTGGTATGAAGAAAACTATAAGATCTGTCTTAGACAATAGAATTTAATAATCCTGATAGGAGGGAATCCATATGGAGATGCCTAGCAATTAGAAATAGGAGACTTAACATCAAGAAAAAGTAAGGCTCAGAGATATATCAATGGTAGGCACAGAAACAGAAAGGCTAATCCAGAGAGAGTCCATAAAGTAAAAGTAGGTAAAAAACTTGGCCATAGGGGGAAAAAGCTATTAAGCACGTAGGAAACACAGGATAAAACATACAAGTTTCCAAAGAGAGGGGAAATGTTAGCACTGTGGACAATCACAGAAATGAAGGAACGTGTTAGGAGAATGTAACTGACAATGTCAGATGTAATAGAGAAATGAGGAAAAGAATGAAGACAGCACAAGGGACTAGGCCAGGTTTGCCTATACAGCAAGACAGTAGATTAAAGAGAAAAACAAAACAAACAAACAAAAACAGGACACATGAGGCTGATGACACCATGAGGAGAAAGGAGCAGTAGACGGCAGTATACAGGGGCAGCAGGCACTGTACTTATTAGAGAAGTCTGGAAGATAAAAATCTGATCAGCAAGCTTGAGGGCACAACAAGATACAGCATAAGTTTAAATAAAATTGGAAGAGACTTCTCCTGAGTTTGTTCACAAAGAGGAAAAGTTCAGGGGAAGAAGAAATTAGATGCACACAGAGGACCCAGAATGGAAACTATCATTCACAGTTACCTGGGCTTTCTGTAATGGAGCCATCCGGCAGCAGAGTACTGCAGTACATTTCATACAGATTTGTAGGAAAATGCTTTTATAGTTGTTTGAACTAGAGTCCTGACTAGAATTTAGTATGAGTGACAATGTAGAGCCATCGATGATTAATCCATATTCCTGATGCTCTGTCCAAGCTCTGAAAAAGACAAAAAATGTTTGGATCTATTAAACAGTTGGAATTAAGATTCTGTTTTTTATTTTTATTTTGCTTTGTTCTGAGATAAGATCTCACACAGCTCAGGCTGGCCTCCAACTCTCTATGTAGCTAAGGATGGCCTTGAAATCCTGATCTTCCTGTTTCTACCTCTCAAGCGCTGAGGTTATGAGTACCCATCACAACACCCTGCTTAACCTCCATTTTTTTTTTCAATCACAGAGGGGAGTGTCCCAGATAAGACAAACCACCAATCTAATTTCTTGACCTGTTTTTTCTGAAGGGATTTTTTTGTCTCTAATAATAGCACAACAGTCACTTTTAATTAGAAAAAAAGCTGTTAAGTAAAGATAAGACACAAGATAAAAGAGAATGAAAGACATGGGTTGCCAAAAAGGGAAAAATGAGAGCACTGTGACCATCACAGACATCAAGAAGGAGATAGGGGTTTTACATTTTTATTGTGTGTATGTGTGCGAGTATACACATGTGGAGGTCAGAGGACAACTTTCAGGAATTGGTTCTTTTCTTCCACTGTAAGTTCTGTGGGTTCAGATTGTAAGGCTTGTACAGGATGTGCTTTTACCAGCTGAGCTATCTCACTGGCTCAAGAAGGAGGGTTTTAAAGGATGTAATTGATAATGTCAACTTCAGTAGAGAAATGAAGAGAATAAAAAGAACACAAGGGATTGGGGCAAGTTTGCATATAAGCAAACTAGGAGAGTAGTAAGAGCAGAAAAGACAGGACACAAGGGGCTAAGAGTTCATGGGGAGCAAGGACTGCCCACACAGTTGACTATAAGTACTGAAAACTATAAAAATAAGGGTGATTGAGCAGTCTGACTATATATAGAAAGTTTAAAGTGAATTTTTGAACTACAAAATTAGCCATACTATTATGAAATGATGCTAAATTTGATATGAAGACAAATTATCAGCTCACCAGAAATTCCTTAAGGACACACACAAAAGACAAAATGACTTGGAGGCAAACAAAATTAGTACCTTTGCCTGAGTGACAAAAATTATCCACAGAACACAGTTTCTCAAATATAACAAAGCATCAAGAAGACACAGTGCTCATTAAAGAGTACCATATAATAACATGCACATTCACTCACTCATTAATATCATATTAGTATAGTGATTCTCAACTCTAACCTTCCAATCAGAATCATTTGAGTATCTTAAAAAATTGCCCATACCTGGCTCTACCCAAAGATCAATTAAATCAGAGAATATTGGATAAGGCTTAGTCACATACAGGTACATTTTAAAGGCAACTTATGTAGTTCTCACGTGTAATAAGGACTAACAAGCACTAGGTGTGAAAAAACAAATGTAATGATAGGTGGAGGTAGGAGGATCAGAAGTTCAAGGCCAGCCTTGGCCACATGAGACCCTATCTCAAAAAAAAAACAAAAAATCCAAGCTACTCTTACCAGAATACAGCAGATAGTTCCAAACCCATGGTCACACAGATGATCCTGGTTAAACTCAGTGGGTCTCCAAAAACAATAAAGACATAGACATGAATGTGGGAAGGAAACTGGAAGCAGGGATTCTAAAAATCTGAATTTATATTATACAACTATGAAATTGTTGGAGGAAAAAAAGCAGTAAAAGTTAAAAAAAAAACCTAACCTACCAAACAAGACAACAGTCTAACAAGGCACCAACTTAAAACGCACACACACACACACACACACACACACACACACACACGCGCGTGTGTGTGTGTGTGTGTGTGTGTGTGTGTGCGCCAGGTATGGTGGTCCATGCCTTTAATCCCAGCATTTGGGAGGCGGGCAAATCTCTACGAGACAGAAACCAGCCTGGTTGAAATCGTGAGTTCCAGGCAGGGTGGGGCAACGTAAGACCCTACCAAAAACCAAAACAACAACAACAACAAGAAGAAAAATATCTATCTATCTATCTATCTATCTATCTATCTATCTATCTATCTACCTACCTACCTATCTATCTATCTAATCTAATCTATCTATCCTATCTATCCTATCTCTCTCTCTATCTCTCTATCTCTCTCTATCTCTATCTCTCATCTATCTATATCCCTCCATATCACTATCTATCATCTATCTATCTATCTATCTATCTATCTATCTATCTATCTATCATCTATCTATCTATCTATCTATCTATCTATCTATCTATCTATCTATCTGAGGCAAAACTTCCAAAAGAGAAAATTCTATCGATTTTTTGTGCAATGAGGGGAAGCAACACATAATTCAATTTTTGCTCAGGCAATCTTGGGTATTCTTTGAGAATCACTTCATTGGAAGCATCAGATACAGTAAGATTTTGTAGTTATAGATTTAGTTGCTTACTTTAATGCTACTTAAATTTTAATGTGCAAGGGTTTACTGGGTATAAATATGCAGATTCTGATTTGGTAAGTCTGGGTGAGATTTTTATTTTTAATTTTTTAAATGTATGAGTACATTGCCTGCATGTGTACAAATGAACCCATGTTGTGCAATACGCATGGAAGTCAGAAGAGGGCGATGGACACCCCTGGAACTAGAGTTATGGACAGTTGTTAGCCAGCATATGGCTGCTATGAATCAAACCCAGGTTTTTAACCACAGCTGTAAGTAAGCTGTATGGAGGAATATAAATAATAATGACGATGATTACTGTTTGGGCTTGGATATATAGCTCCATAGTAGAGTGTTTCCCTAGCAGATATAAGGCCCTGAGTCCAATGCCTATCATTGTAAAATTAAAAAGAATTACTGACTAAACTTTGCTTGGAGAACAGAAAAGTCTCCATGAGATAGCAGAAGTGCACATGAGGGAACATACACAACCAAACAAGATAATAAATGGTAAACACTCAGTTACTGGGACAATAAATTCAAACAGGAGATAATAATTAATTCTGTATGATGTGAGATATCTAAAGTCACATTAAAGGCAGAGAAAAAAGGGGAAGAAAGAAAAATGCATGTTGGGTACACCAGGAAAGCAAGTTAATGCCACTTGACTGCTTTGTTATAACCTGAGTATCTGTGGATAATGGAGAATTCAAAGGTTTCAAGGGAAAGGTGATATACACAATGCTTTGTTTAAAAGACCACTTATGTGGGAGAGGGACTTAAGGGTTTGAATGCATATGTTACTAGATCTGTAATCTGAAAAACTAGTGGTAATTGGAGCATGGCTAAAGCTTGATGGTTAATGAGAACAGGAAGGAGGAAAAAGAGCAGAAACTGACAAAGATGATTCTGGATTTGAAGCCTGTTCACCAGGGGAAAGACTATGCCTGACTCTAAACATATAATCAAGAACAGAAATGGTAATGCATTAAGTTTTCCATAGTACCTAGCTTACAGAAACATGTTACACAGCTACTGAGTGGAACTATTGGCTGAACTGTTTCCTTTCAACATGTATCTATTAAACTGCTATCTTCATTTTGTTGATACTAGGAGAGGGGTTCTTTGAGAGTTGATTAGGTTTAGATACGGTTATGACAGCAGGCTCTTTATGATGGGATTTGTGATTGATATGAAAATTCTGGAGCCCAACCACAAATGTGATCTTATTAGGAGGCAGGGTCTTTGGAAGGTAATTAATTAACTGTAAGAGACTTTATGAGGGTAAGGCTCAAATGTTGGGATTACTGCTTTCATTTGGAGATAAGACATCAAAATACTGTCATGGTTTGACAAAGGGAGGTGGCAGCAAGTCAGGAAGAATATTCACCAGTTTGCAATTATTCTGACACTGATCAGACTTTCAGCCTCCAAAACTATGAGAACTATACCTATTATTTAGGTCACTCAGTCTATGATATTGTTATGGCAGCCCAAGCCAACTAAGAAATGGTCAAGTAACACATGTTGCAATTTGGAATGACTGCCGTATGTTCTATTTGATGGAAGAAAGGAAGCATTTCTCATGGCCAATTAATATGAATATGTTTATTCTCACTGCTAACCAAGATGAACAACAGCTCTTTAGAAGTGGCCAAATGTGCTCTGGAATTGTATAGACTTGTTCAATCACTTACTAGCTTTAAGATTTTGAGGAAGTTACTTTATCTTGGTGAGTCTCAGTTTCTCAGTCTATAAAGGGAATTAAGATTGCTTAATTGCCAGGCGTGGTGGCGCACCCCTTTAATCCCAGCATTTGGGAGGCTGAAGCAGAATGGATCTCTGTGAGTTCAAGGCCAGCCTGGTCTACATAGTGAGTTCCAGGACAGCTGGGGCTACAGGGAGACCCTGTCTCAAATAGACCTAAAAAAAAAAAGATTGCTTAATTCAGATGTTAATGAAGGTCAAATAAAAATTATCATACTGAATACTCATCAGTATTCCTAGAATATGAAGTGTGCTTAAGACACAGAAAACAGTATTTCTCAGGGGAGGTCTCTGCAATTACTGCAGGTAGCTCTAGTACTATTCCAGAAAAAGAATTCAACTTAATGTCAGAGTAAATTCAAGCAATTAATTTGGACAACAGAAGAAAGAAGAATACCTATCTCTGGCAGTGAATTATTGTGGATCAGAAGCTTTTCTTGAGACTTGTAGGTCCCATAAAGCTTTCCTACATAGTAGAAGGCAGAGTTAAAGTGGCCGTGTTAATGGTTTGGTTCCATTTGGAGTACCGGAACACAAGAATTCACAAGGGAAATGGGACCTAAGAATTCACAGAAAGTGTTACAGAGATTGATTTTTTTTTGTCTAGACTTTAAACATTTAAAAACTGAGCTATTTAAAATATTTCTTAAAAAAATAAAAACAACTATCATTATGATCCAGAAATCCCACTACTGACTATATACACAAGGGAAATGAAGTTAGTATGTCAGAGACATCTGCACTCCCATGTTCAATGCAGCATCATTCACAATAGCTCAGAATCAGAAACCTAAGTATCTATCAACTAATGAATGGATTAAGAAAATATGGTACATATATACCATGAAATCCTATTCAGCTACAAAAATGAAATCCTGTTATTTACAACTACATAGATGAATATGGAGATCATTATGTTATGTGTAATGTAACAAGTCCAAGCACAAAAAGGCAAGTAGTACATGACCTTATTCATATGTGGAATTTCAAAATATTGATCTCATGGAAGTTCCAAATAGAAAAGTGGTTATCAAAGGCTGGTAGAGTATGCGGGCAAAGATTAAAGGGCACTAAGGAGGATGTAAAGAGGATGAAGAAATTTCGGTATGCTACAGCACAGTAGGATGACTACAGATAATGGTAATTTCCAAAAAAATTTAAATGCTACAAGAAAGGATTTTGGAAGTTTTTACTATAAATAAAAATGTATCTGGAGATAAATGAGTTTAGCTATGACTTAAACATCATACAATGTATACATGTATCCTAGTTTGCTTTCTTGTTGCTGGGATAAAACAACATGAGCAAAGCAACTTGGCTTACAGGTGACAGACCATCATCAAGGAAAGCCAGGGCAGGAACCCAAGGCAAGAATCTGGAGGTAGAACGAAGCAGAAACTATAGGGTAATGGTGATCACTTGCTTACTTCTCCTGGCTTGCTCAGCTACCTTTCTTATACAGCCCAGGAACCCCCTGTCCAGGGATGGCACTGCCACAGTGAGCTGGGCCATCCTATATCAATTAGCAATTAAGAAAATGCCCCACAGACATGCCCACAGGCCAATCTCATGAAGGAAATTCCTCAACTGAGGTTCCCATGTCTCAGGTACGTTAAGGTGACAACCAAGATTGGCCATCACAGCATGTATCAAAAATCACATTAAGCCAGGTGTGGTTTGCACACATTTAATCCCAGAACTCAGGAGGCAGAGGCAGGCGGATCTCTATGAGATTGGGGCTAGCCTGGTCTACATAGTGAGTTCCAGGCCAGCAAGAGGTCAGGAGAGAGCCTGTCTCAAAAAGACCAAAAAAAAATCACATTACCCCATTAATATGTACAATTTTATGATTTTGCATACTTTTGAATTATAAATTCATTTTAAAAAGTTGACAGTTGGGGATAACTCAGTGTGTGAGGACCTAGGTTCAATTTCCAGCACTGCCCCCCCAATTGAGTTTTTGTGATAGATACTGAGAAATTTAGGTTTTTAAAAATATTTTATTTATTACTATTTTTTAAATTTTATGTGTATGAGTGCTATGCCTGCATGTAGGTAAGTGCACCCGTGTCGTGCAATGTGCAATGCCTGCAGAGGACATAAGAGGCTGTCAGATCCCCTGGAACTGGAGTTATGGACAGTTGTGAGCGGCCATGTGGGTGCTGAGAAATTTAGTTTTTAAAACATTAACAGAGGTGGAAAGTGCCAAGTAATCTCAAATGGGTTAATAATCAAGTCCTCAGGGAAGGTTTTAACTTAAAAGGTTAAAACATCAACAGAGAATGGTAAATTACCCAAAATAGAGTCTTCTGCATAAGTAGCAGTTATTTACATTTGTATCAATGTATAAGTGTAAGAAATAGACACATTTTCTTACTTTTTAAGGCTTCTAGTGCTTCTAGGCAATTCATGCATCAACTTCTTACGATATTCTATTAACAATTCATGTAATCTATCTTCTTTCCTTTCACTGTCTTCAATGGTTTTTGTGGTTAGTTCCAAGAGCTCAGTATTGGTTTGGAAAAGGCGGCAGGCATAACATGTAGATCTGGCTGTCTCCATTTTGTCCCCAGTAAGCACCCAGACTTTCAAGCCAGCTGCATGAAGAGCTTCAATGGTTTCAGCAGCCTGATCTTGCAGCCTGTGAATACAAAGAAACTTTATTAACTTCTAAAAGTTCTGACAGAAGAAAGATTGTTAAAGAGATCATTTTTACAACTCATCAGCAATTCTAGAATCCTATACATAATATATAATAAAAAATAAATTTGAATGAAGGTATCCTGTATGGATGGATAATGCTGTTCCAAGAAGCCTTAGGCTATTTTTATTTTAAAAATATTTTATTATTTCATTTTATGTGTAGGAGTGTATTGTCTGCATATATGTATGTGTACCTCTGTCATGCAATGCTCATGAAGGTCAGAAGAAGGTGATGGATCCCCTGGAAGTAGAGTTATGGACAGTTGTTAGCTGCCATGTGGGTGCTGGGAATCAAATCTGGAAAGTTTGCAAGAGCAGTCAAGTCAGTGTTCTTAACTGCTAAGCCATGTCTCCAGCCCTTAGAAGCCATAGGTTATTATCCCAGGACAAGGTGTGGGACACCTCCCTTGAGCTGTTGGTTAGGGAGGCCCCAGAGATCCTAAAACAACAATGCAAGCTATTGCCATTGCTCTTGTTGCCCACCATAACTAGATAGTAAGACTATTGCTTCAGACTTCACACACATTGGTCACGGGACAACAGAGAAATCAAGACTGGTACTGAGCTGGCTTCCTTTTTGCTTGCTAGCTTTCACAGTCCTGGAAGGTGCTATGCAGGCTACTGAGATAGAAAAAGTCATCAACAGTCTCACCCAGCTGTAAACCCATCTGTGAACCAATCTGCCAGGCAAGATGTGTCCACTGATGCAACAGTGGCATGACTGTTATGGGAATAATCAACTGTGATTTTTTTTTTGAGACAGTATCTCACTATACAGCCCTGGCTGGCCTAGAACTCACTATGTAGACCAGATTGGCCTGGAATTCACAATGATCTGCAAACCTGTGCCAGCCAAGTTTTAGGATTAAAAACATGTACACCACCACACCTCTCCTCCAATTGCCTTTTCAATTTTAATTTTATGTGTATGAGTGTTTTGCTTGCATGTAAGTGTACCATGTGTGTGTTGGTTCCTGTAGAGGTGAGGAGAGGTCGTAAGATCCCCTGAAACTGAAGTTAAGGATGGATGTTAGCTACCATGTGGGTATACTAGGAAATGATCCCAGTCCTCTGGAAGAGCAGTAAGTGCTCTTAACCACTGAGCAATCTCTCCAGCCCATCCAACTGCTTTAAAAAATTTCTATTTGATGGGGCTGGAGAGATGGCTCAGCGTTTAAGAACACTGACTGTTTTTGCAGAAGCCTGGGGTTTGAATCCCAGCACCCACATGGCAGCTAACAACTGTCCATAACTCCAGTTCCAAGGGATCTGACATCCTCTTCTGTCCTCCGTGGGCATTGCATGATATGAGTGCACTTACCTACATGCAGGCATAACATTCATACACATAAAATAAAAATAGCAAATGAAATATTTTTTAAAATTGTATTTATTTGACGCCCATTCCATGGGAGAGAAGTCATGCCTGGTACTGTAAACCTAGTAAAAAAAAGTCAATGTTTAGAAAGGTCACAGGCTCTAAGGGGTAACCCATCAGGTTGTAAATTAAGTCAAACTGTCTTTTAAACATATTTGGACCCATGGATTAGTGCTGGCCAGAGAAGCTTCTCTCTGCAGTAAGTGATGGATAATACAGAGACTGATCAAAGTGCTGAGAATAAGTGACTGTTAACTGATCAGACCTAAATGGGAAATCTGTATTATCCTTCCAAGGTTCAGGGAAAATGGTGGGAGAGACTGTGGAAAGAATGTAAAGTACCATTAGAAGAGGAGGCATGGCCACTGCACTCATGAATTCACAGTAGCTGTGGCTACCTGAACAAGACCTGCACAGGATGGGGCCCTTCAGCATTCCCTTATGGGTGGGGAAGGGACTCATGAGGCCTGTCCCCTCCCAAGGAATTATTGGTAGTTAATAGTGGCTGAGTGAAGACAGCCATTTTCTTCAGTGGCATAGCCACCTTTAAGTTGCCTGTAATCAGATAAATAACCTCTCTACTCATAATCATACACACAGATCCTAGTTAAACTCACTGGGTCACAAAAAAACAGAAAGCCAGACATGAAAATATGCATGGGGGACTTGTTGCGAAGAAGTTGTTCAGCAGAAGTGGGAGGATGAGAAAGGCAATAGGGGTGAAAAGGACCAAAATACATTATATACATGTATGAAATTGCAAAAGAATAACAAAAATAAAAATTACAATAAAATGAAAAATAAAAATTTTAGTATCTTCAAACAGTTGAATATATGTAACTTTTTCCCTCATGCTTCCTAACTTTTAGAAAACATATTTAGAATCTAAAACTTATTATTTGAAGCAGATCACTGACAGTCCTACAATCACATCAGCCAGTATATTTAAAGCATCTTTTTATTTATTTATTTTAATATTTTATTTATTACTTTTATTTTATAGGTATGAGTGTATTGCCTGCATGCATATAAGTGCACCCCAGTCATGCAATGCCTGCGGAAGTCAGAAGAGGGGGCTGAATTCTCTGGAATTGGAGTTATGGATGGTTGTTATTCACCATGTGGGTGCTGGGAATTGAACCTGGGTCCTCTGCAAGAGCACACAGTCCTCTTAACAACTGAGCCAACTCTCTAGACCCTAAAGCATCTCTTTTAAAACTATGTGAAAACTATTCTGGCTAGCTGAAGCAGGTTAGGTTAAATTCTTGTTCTCTTTACTCTACCTTGAATTTCCTTTCTGCTCATTTGCTGTGAAAATCTTACCCATTCTTCCAAGTACCAGCTCAAATGATGGTTCTACCACTCTGCCCTATATAGTGCAAGACTATTTCATATATTCTGCAATAAACAATTAGATGGCTCAGTAAATTTTCTTAAGACCTTACTGATAATGAGTTGATCCTTCTAAGGTACATGTATTTAAAAAACATCTGCAGAGTTCAAAATCCGCTATATTTTCCATAGTTGGTAAAATAAATTAATCTTTATGTTCATCTAGAGGACAAACCTAAATGAGAAATTTCAAAACATGTGAATATATTACTAATCTGGAACATATACTACCAAAAATGACTGGTCATTACAATAACAAGAATATGTAGTTACTTGTCTTCTACAGCAGTGGCTCCAATTAAATTCATGTTTGTCTCAATATCATCAAAAATTGTTTCCAGTTTTTCTTCTCTGTCTTGTAAGGCCATTTTTGCCTCAACCAGTTGTGCATTAATTCTTTCAAAATCATCTGGAGTGATTTCTTTGAAGGCTACACAGAGTGTCCGGTAACCATCCTAGAAACAAAGAAGAAGGTCTATAGTGATCTCTATAATAGCCAAAAGAATGTCATACTCTTTAAAGCTTTATTTTTATTTTTAATTTAAATCTTTGTGCATGTGAGTCCAGGTGTATATGAAGAGTGGAGGACAGAAACCTCTGATTCCCGAGAGTTAATGGTGGTTATAAGCCATCTGGCACTGTGTGCTGAGAACGGGTCTCAGATCCTCTGCAAGAGCAATACACACTCTTAAACACTGAGCCATTTCTCCAGTCCCCACCATACTTTTTAAATGGTTTTGCTTTGCCCATATATTAAAAAAGAGAGATTCTGATAAATTTAATTTTTAAAAATGAACAAATTGTAACTAAAAAGGTAACATTCAATCAGGTTCAAAATAACTAATAATTTTTTATAGAAGATCCTTGAAACCAGGCATAGTGGTACACGCCTTTAATTCCAGCACTTAGGAGGCAGAGGTAGGCAAATTTCTGTGAGTTTGAGGCCACTGAGGGTTACATACTTAAGACCCTGTCTCAAAAAATATATATTCTCTTAACAACTTTTAAGTATATACAATACATTGTCATTAACCAAAACAAACAAACAAACAAACAAACAAACCAAAAAGATCCTTGAAAATTCTTTAAGACTGCTAATTCTGACCACAATACTGGTCTTAGGATAATAGTTTATGCTAAAATAACGAAGGTAATAATACAATAAAATCTCTAAGTACAAGAAGTAGACCATAAAAAAGCTAAAATTAAACATTCATTTAAATTCTATAAAGACAGGCATTTCTAGCATTTCTCCATTTACTTATTGAAGGGAGGGATATAGGCTCACCATTGCATTATGTTCCACATGAGCTTTAATTAACTCAATTTCATGGTTTTGTACCCTGGGAAAAACTGCTGAATCTGCTCCTTTACAGAAAAGTAGTATATCTCCTAAAACAAAGAACCAAAATTCTCAACTCAGAATTTGAAGATTGGCATTAGGATTTTCCTAAGAGGTAATTGTTAACATCTCTCCAACCGCTATTGTATATTCTGAATCTGCCTTGCAATGCTCATCCTAATGGAATGAAATGTCTGGAGCTTTAGTCTGCCAGAAGAATATTCACCACCTCTCTGGAACATTAAAGACACAATAAATAAGCCAGATGCTACTATGTGGATCTATGCTATAGTTCTTCCCAGTGAATCATGGAAGACGAGGTTTGTGTCAAGGGGCTACAACTGAATCTCTCTTTGAAAATGTAGTCAATCATGGCCTAGAGTCCAGAACCAAACTCAAGTTCCAACAACCTGAACTCATTTTTAATAAACTACAAGTTGGATTTTAAAACACTGGCTTGATGGGTTGTACTAGGAACTTGAAAATAGCTTTGTAGAATACTGGTACATGTACAGCTTTGGATCATTTCAGGAAGAGTTGAGCACCAAAAGACACTTTATAAGACAAAGAACTGAGTTTAACAAATTAAAAAGTGCAGCTCTGGGGTCAATGACTTTTGCAAATCATTTCTCCAGACATTTCACCATATGCAGAACATGTATACATATATATGGAGAAAGAGAAATGTATAAGTATATATAAATACATAGAGATGTGCACACATAAAAATAAAAGCAGTAACTATTTAAATGTAGAATGTTTGTTTCGTTTCTACTCACACATCCGAAGTGCATTTAAAATTCATAAATAAATTTCATGGTCATATACTAAAATAAATCTCATAACTTTACAATCATGCCAGATAGTATGAATACAGTGAACTACGTTTCTCCAAGGATTTGTCTGCATCATTTCATTAACTAATTTGTGACAGATTTAATACTACCCTAAATTAAGGATATTTTGAAAATAAACCTCGGGTCAAAGAAACACATGTGCACACATATGCATACATCTGAGAGCTTGTGAGTAAAGTAGGAGCACTTCCCCATGTGTTTTTCAAAATCTGAGCAGAAGGCAAGCCTCCATGGTGCCTCCTAAAGATACCGAGGAGCCAAGAGATTATAGTACTGGTTTACTGGCAAAGGGCAAGATTTATTGTGAGTCCTCGGTTCTGGAATGAAGCCAGAATGCCCTTTCCCAGAAGCCTAGCTTAGTCATCTCTACTTTGCTTGCTTCTAAGGAGTGCAAGCAGTAGGGGAACAAAGGAAGTCAGGGAAGGGTAGATAAATGGCAGCTCTACACTGCATGCTTCTGCAGTTGGTAATTCCAAACCATTCAGTGACATGGAGCTGCTGTTACAGTAAAATTTGTAAGACTTGTTAATTCTACGCTGCTATTTATGTTTCTTTCCTGAAACAGTTGATAAACATATAAGCCTTACAAAGAGAAAAATCAGTCAAGTTTTTAAGATGCATACCTCCTTCAGTCTTCACAATTACACTCATACGTCGGCGGACAGAATCAAAATTTAAGGTATGGAGAAGTTCATACCTTCAGGAGAGGAGAAATGAAAAAGTGAAACACCTTAACCATACAGGAAAAAAAATAACCCACAACAGAAACATCTTGAATATATAGCTTCCTCTTTGCATATGGATAACCAGTCTTATGTACAACTGGTACTTTCACGTTTGAATTTCTTTTGTATATAGACCTGCTAATATAAAATAGCAGTACTGGGTAAAGTTATTTTTTAAATTTTTAAAAATTTGTATTTTATGTGTATGAGTGTATTGACTGCATGTATACGAGTGCACCTGTGTCATGCAATGCCGCGGGGGTCAGAAGAGGGTTTCAGATTCCCCTGGAACTGGAGTTAAGGATGGTTTGTAGCCGCCATGTGGGTGCTGGGAATCGAACCTGGGTCCTCTGCAAGAGCAGTCAGTGCTCTTAACCGCTGAGCCATCTCTCCAGCCCCCAGGTAAAGTTATTTTTATCTTCCCATTTCATCACTTAAGGAGACTGACTACAAATAAAAAAACCTGGCCCACCAAGGCACATGTGGAGGAGTCTATTGGGACCATTATTTTTAGAGTGTCAACTATGGGTCAGACACTCTGCTATGTGTTGGGAAACTTAGATGAATCTGCCTGAAACCTTTCTCACAAAGAAATCACCATATGAGATAACTATGTTCCAAATCCATTTAATACCAAAATCAAAGCATTTACAAGGGAGAGATCACTCACTGCACAGAAAAAAAAGCCACCTGAAGGAAGGTTTTCTGGAAGAGGTTGTGCCAGAGCTCGATCCTTAAAAGAATGGCATCATAAAGAAAGGGTGGTGTGTGTGAGGGGAGAGTTATAGGGAAAAGCATGTATGGCAGTACATGGGCTATAAGAAACTAAGTTTCTAATATCTGGAAAACTCAGAATAGGGGAGTGTCAAGAGATGACATAAGAAAAGCAAGCAAGGGCTAGAAACTAGAACATTGGGGTTGTTTCAGAAATGTGGCATTTTATCCTAAAACATTAAGAAGTCAGAGAAGGGTTTAAGGAATAGAATGACCTTATGAGATGGCTTAGATTTGTGTATGTATGGCTGAACTACTAATCAGATTAAGTGGTACAGAAGTTCAAATAAGAGGTATTTGTGAGTAAATATTTTCTTGAAAACCAACAAAAAGAACCTTATATAAATATATTTTAACACAAAATTTTACTATGTATCTTGTTTTTGGTAGAAAGAAGTGAATGGATCATTGGTTTTCATTGGGGGAGGGGCTCTGTTAGACATCTACGTGTAGCATTTCATGTAGTATTTGGCAGGACTACAATCTGGAATGACCATTACTTTGGGTCCTCAGAAGTCTGAACAAAGAACCTTCCTCTAGGTTCTTGAGCATCCTTTCTCAAGGGGTAACATTACTACATGTATTATACTTTATTTACTTATATTATGGATACATTTTTTGAGATGGATCTCAGCAGGTCCTTCAGTTCAGATTGGAAATCAGATAAGATAACTGCATTTCAGGTTCAGATGAAGGAATTCAAATTAATTACAAAGTCTTATTAAAATCTGTGTCAAGGTGGAATTGTTCCTCATGGTCTTTATGGTACAACAGGAAGTGTCAACATGCAAGTGTGGGCTTTCCATGAGGCTTATAGCTAAATATCTACGTGCAAGATAAGGGTCTGGTGAACACCAAAGTTACTAGGATTGACTTAGTTTACAATCGCAAATTGCTTGGGCTACAGACAGAAGGTTTCATGCACGTTCCTGATTTTTCTTATAGCATGTGTTAGAAAACTGAAATGGCATCTAAAGTCTCATTCTGCTTATTAGACCACATGTAAACCAAATTAGAACTTCTACTGCAAATCCTCATTTCTGCCATTCTATGAAAAACAGCTTTTCCCACTTCAACTACATTTATATACAACTCTGAAATAGGAGAATATAGTCCTGTATAGGTGAGTAAGTTTCCCTTCCTTTCTGAATCTACTTAATGCTCATGGGTTCGTGGCTTGGGTTAAATGCTGACAAACATCAAATAGATCTACTTACTCTTCTATTTCTTTTCTTTGGTTCTCTACTCTTATACGTCCATTCCAATTTCCCAAAAACGTGAATCCGAATCTATCAAAAACAACAAAGATTTTCATGTTATTGCCAAGAAAAACTTTCCCTTTGCACTGGGACTATCTGTTCTCATTACTTCTTTTCTTCTTTAATACGATCTCAATCTACGACTCTATTTCTGTTTTCAGGATGAGTTGATAACAAAGAGCAAACCAATGACTGGACATAATTATTGTAATCAAAGGAGAGAGAATTTCTAATTCCAATTTTACAGCAAGGACAATTACCTGTGACCTTTTAGCCACTTACTCATCTTGACTCTCATGGATAAACTGAACTGTCACTTATCAAATAACATCAAAATTGCTGGTAGAACTTCAGAAACATGTATTGTACAGAAAGTGGCCACTGTTAGGTGATTTGCAAAATATAATGTGGTAATTTGGACTTGTGGCTGGGATGCACAAATGAGGCAAGTAATACTAAATACATCACTATTTTCTTTTTGGACTCAACAGTAAAGGTACACGATTGGTACATGAAGCAAATGAATGAAAAAAAAATTTTTTTTTTTTTTGAGACAGGGTCTCCCTGTAGCTCTAGCTGGCCTGGAACTGTTATAGACTCACAGAGATCTGCCAGCCTCTGCGTCCCCAGTGCTGGGATTCAAGGCACGTGTCACTGCAACAGGCTCAAAATAACTCTTAAACTTCCTGCACTTTCACTTTCTCAGAAGTATAAGAAGTGCTTACTTTTTAGCTCCTTTCACCAAAGCTATTTCATCTGGTGAGGAGGAGATATAGGTTAATTCAGCTGATTCTGTAGTCCCATCAACAGCATCATTTGTTTTTATTTCTACAGTGTGACATAAACACAAGGCACGTAGAAAGAGCTCTTCTCGGTTCTGTGGAATGGAACAGAAAAATGACTATTATTTTTGTTTGTATCAATAGGTAACCACTGAACAAAGAAAATATATTACAGTGAGATAATGCTATCATCTCTAAAAACTAAGTAATGGAAATTAAATTCCTAATAGTCAAATGAATACCTAGCAACCAGCAGATTACTGGTTCCTATTTAGCATTCCTAGAGGCTATATTAACTCATTCTGGTTATTTAGTGCCATCTATACCTACACAGCGTTCTTCTTTGCCGGCCTATGTGGTAATTAGGTATCTAAGTCAAAATCTAGGAATTGGTCAGGTGTAAAGAAACTTGATTCATTTAATGCCTGTATATTAGAACTTCAATGATTTGAAGAGACAACATTCTTGGAAGAGCTGATATTTGAAAAAATTATGACTCCATACACAGGTAAGTGAAAGTTTGATTCAAATGCCATTTCCCGTAATTCCCTCTATTGTAAGATCTAGTTGTTTACAAATTCTAATGGTATTAATAAAAGGAAGAAAGGAGAAACCAAAAGAACAAACAAATGATTATTTAAAGGTCTGTATTGTGCACCCACTGAAAAATTCTGTATTTCTACTTTGTAGAGTGTAACACATGCCTACACTGATTAATTTTTCATAGAAAATATTAACAGGAAAGTGTCACCTTATCTGCTTTATCAAAACATGGTAAAGGTCCATCAGTCTGAGATAATCCATCAACTTCCTGAGTTGTGTCTTTGTATCTGTGCCCATCTATGCAGCATTCAATGAATTCCATGGTATTTTCAGTGAGTGTTCCAGTCTTATCTGTGAATACATAATCCACCTAAAAACAAGGACATAAACATGTGTATGTTTATGTTTACTGTGATTATTTGTTATTCAGCTATAAGGCAGTCCTTTTTCCATATCCATAGAAAAACCATACATTCTAACATTTAGCAAATGTCAGGAAATTACAGATGCAATAAGTAAATTAGAAATTCATGAGTATTCTTTTTTTTTTTTTGGTCTTTTTGAGACAGGGTCTCTCTGTAACCCCAGCTGTCCTGGAACTCACTATGTAGACCAGGCTGGCCTTGAACTCACAGAGATCTGCCTGCCCTGCCTCCCCCAGTGCTGGGATTAAAGGTGTGCTTCACCACGCCCAGCTCATAAGTATTTTTTAAAACACTGTAATAATTATAACAGGCTTATTCAAACGTAGAAGATCAATAGGACAAAAAATTTTGACTTTATTAAACTAAGAATCTTCCTTTTAATCCTTTAATGCATTTTTAAATATATATAGATTTTTAAAAAATTATGTGTATGAGTATATTGCCTGCATGTAGATAGGTGCAAATGCATTGGGCAATGACTACAAAGGTCACGAGAGGGCATCAGATCCCCTGGAACTGGAGTTTCTGACAGTTGTTAGCCACCATGTGGGTGCTGGGAATCGAACCCAGGTCCTCTGCAAGAGCAGCCAGTGCTCTTAATTGCTGAGCTATCTCTCCAGTCCCGATCCTTTAATGTTTTGATGAGGCACACTAAAGAGTCAATTTTCCAAGGAGATAACCAGAATATAAGGAGCACTAATTTTACACACACACACACACACACACACACACACACGCATGCACGCACGCGCGCACACACACACACACACGCACACACACACACACTTTATTGAATTGGCATGTACATAATCCAAAGGAAAAAATTAATAGGAACTTACATAGGATATAATAAAATAAAGCAAAAACTTATGAGACTATTCTACCCTTGAAAAGTACAATTAAAAATCTACTATATTTTGTAATTTTATTTATTGCATGTTTGTGTGCGGTGTGCGTATGGTGTCTCACTTGTATGCCACAACACACAGGTGGAGGTCAGAGGACAACTTGTGGAAGCTGGCTCTCTACTTCCACCATGTGGGACCCGGGGATCCAACTCAGGTCACCAGGCTTGGCAATAAGCACCTTTACTGACTCTGAGCCATCGTGCCAGCCTTAAAAGTACAGTTTTCAGTAAAAATACTGCAATTACATAAAATGCATTACAATGCATAATGAACAGAAGAATTATAGAACATATAAGAAAGAAGAAAAAGTTAATGGTTCTCTAATTAGGAGGTATAATGGGTGAATACTGTTTAAAAAATGACAAAAAATTTCTTTCTATTTACTATGCATACTTTTCAGGTATTCCTCAAAAAAGGTTTCCAAATTAAAAAAAAAATAGGCAGCTTATAGTAATAGGTAAAAGTATTTTTTCATAAATAATGGAAAAATAAGCTATGAAATAAATTTTGATTAAAATAAATCATTTTGAACATTTACATTTTATCTTAGTTTATATCTTTTCTATTTATAACATCTGGCTTTTAGAAACCCACAATTTCATCCTCTTTTTTAGTAATTTATGCTTAAATAGTCAAAATTATGGGCTGACAGGAACAAGCATAAGCACAAGATTAAGGTTTTTATTATGTAAGGGAGAAAGAGATGTTCAGCAGTGGTTGCTTTCTAATTATTTTTCAGCAATTTTCATGGTAGCAGCACTGGCACAAATATAGCATTCCAGTCTTCCTTTTTCCTGTTAGCCAGCCAAGTTCAAGTCTCTCTTTAAATTAATCCTAGTGGTATTACTTGTGTATCATTTAGGTTTTTCCAGTTAAAATGAAATTCTTTAGGACTTTCTATTCCTGATTAAAAATATTAACCTTCATTTTCCTGTGAAGGTTGTCCTAGGTTGTTTTACATTCTGCATTTGGCTTAGCATTAGCCCATTCTGAACCTCTATTTTCTGTGTGTATGTGTTAAAGGACAACCTCAGGTGCTATTCATTTTTTTGTTTGTTTGCTTAGATAAGGTTTCGTAGTGTCCTGAAACCCCCAAGGAGGCAAAGCTGTCCAGTTAGTGAGACCCAGGGATCTTTCTTCACATAAACAGTGTTTAGATTACAAGTGTACATCACCATGGCCACTTTTTCAGATTGGTCCTGAGAACCAAATTCATGTCCTCTTGCTTTTAAGCTAAACACTTTACCGAATGAGTTATCTCCCCAGCCCCTTTTCAGAATTTCTTTTTTCACTTTTTAAAATTGAGCCTTTTAAATTTCATACATTTCCCACTCAAATCCAGACCCCCTTCCCCCATCCATGTCTCCACCATCCCCGCACCGAACCCTATGCATGGCTAGTCAGCCCATCCAGTGGTCCTATGTAAGTCATACTCTCCCTCACCCAACAACAATCCAATCGGTTTTCAGAATTTCTTAAGCATTAGGGTCACAAAGGTGGTAACTTCAAGATAAAATCTACAACTCCTTTGCCTACAGAGAACAGTTTGGGCATTAAAGGCCTGCAAACATTGTATCTCGCAGGTATAGGTCAACAAACTGTATACTAGAAGAAGCATCATATATACTTAGAGGGATTGTGAGAACTGAAGAGTGCTATGATCTATTCTCCAGAGTTCCTGAATTCAGTAGGTCTGAAATAAACAGGGCAGGATAATTTTACAATTCTAAATTCCCAGGTGATATTGATCCTGTTGGTCCTAGTATCAGATTTACAGAACTACTGTCTCATTATATGCCATGTACTCAGGAAAAGGAGAGTGGACTGAGTGTGATTTATATTGAAAAAATATTTTCATATCTAAAGGACAAAGGGATAAAAGAGACACTGCTGCTTGGCCTCAAACAGCTTTTTCCTCTTCAATGATAGGTTTTAAAAAATATTATTTTTATGTGCATAAGTGTACTGCCTGCATGTAGGTAAGTGCACCCATGTCATGCTATGCCCATGGAGGACAGAAGAGGCCATCGGATCCCCTGGAACTGGAGTTACAGACAGTTGTTAGCTGCCATGTGCGTGCTGGGATTTGACCCCAGGTCTTCTACAAGAACAACCAGTGTTCTTAACTGATGAGCTATCTCTCTAGGCCCTACTTTAATGATAGGTTTAAGTGTGGTGAAAGGGATCCTCTATATCAGCAAATTCAGGTTCATCATTTTATGGATGGAAAGCCTACATTGGCTGTATATTGTGAAATATGTATTTGATCTGCTTCTCTATTTCCTGAAATAGCTCTGAACACAAGTAGAATCTCCAGAGTGGTAAGAATTTCCTTCTTATGATAGAGTGTGTGCTCACATAATGCTGGGACAAAAGAAGTGTCCCTACTTGGTATTCTTCTGGTGGATGTGTAGAAAGATGTGGATGTTGATATGACCAACACAGAATACAAGTATATACCTTTCTTTCTTCTTTCCCAGCTCAACTCAACTTTTTTTCCTTCCTTTTTAACCTGATGCAATGATCATAGATCAGAGTGAAACTACCAGTGATGGTTGGACCTGGTAGTACATCCCTCTGATCTCAGCTACTCAAAAGGCTGCGGGGGCGGGGATTGCAAGTTCAAGGCCTGCCTGGGATACAGAGGGAGCTTAAGGCCAGCATGGGTGTCTTAGTGAGATCCTTTCCCCAAGAAAATAAAAAAATAACAAAAATGCAGGGGTTGGAGATGACTCAACAGTTAAGAGTACTTGCTGTTTTTCTAGAGGACCCATGTTTGGTTCTCAGTACCCACATGTGGCTAACAACTACCCATAACACTAATTCCAGGGGATGTAACACCCTCTTCTGGCCTCCATGGCCAGTGCACGTATGGATGAACTTACATACATGCAAACTCTCATACACATGAAATAAAAAAAATAATTTTTAAGTTAAAAAATGTGCTAGGAATACAGTTTGTGGTAAGTTGCTTACACAGCATGTGAGAAGTCCTGGGTTCAATACTCAGTACTGAAAAAAACAAAACTCTCTCTCTCGCGCGCGCGCGCGCTCTCTCTTTCTTTCTCTCAGCAACCAACTTATCCATCCTGCAAGTGCTGGAAACACAGATGATTCCTAAGCAACAAATTGCAAGTTTTTCTTTTTCTCTATTGGGGATAGAATCCAGGGCTTCATGAATGCTAAGCAAGTACTCTACCAATGAAATACTCTCCCAGAGTCTATGTTTTTAAACCCTTTAAGAATTCCTAAGGGTTTGATGTGGGTGGATTGTGCCTTTACCACATTTAGTAGTGACTGTCCAAACAGCTGACTACTTATATGGATAACTTTACCCTATCTGAGTGACAGTGGACAGAGGGAAGTGTTCTTGCTAGTACTGCTGCCTATAGTCTACACAAACTCAGTGGTCAAACCTAGTGGCTCTTCCAAAGGTGAGGGTTGTGTACAAAGAGAAGAAGGAATCACAGTTTGGGGTAAAATAATGAATAAATGGATTATGCAATTAGGGAAATCCAATACCATTTAATACCTGGAAAGGGGCTAAAGAGAAAGAGTTAAGTGTCTCTGAAGCCCACCACTGTTACATTTAGAACTGGATAAGATTAGGATGGAAATCTGCACAACTCAGCAGTCTCACCCTGGGAGACATCTCAGAAATGAACAGAATGATTCAATAGGATCCTAGTTAATGTTCCAATATCATTTGAGATTGCATATCTTATTGATGTGATAGGATAGGTATTTGAAAATGGGGGATAAATGTGATGTTATGAAATATATATTAAGCTTCATCCCTGTTTCCAAAATACACCCTAAAATATCTAGTAATCTTTAGAGAGATATGTGTATATCTTTTGTATACAAATGAGATGACTGGTGGCATTCTATATCTTCTAGATAGGGGCAGGTCACTGGAGAAATCAAGGCTTAATTAGAAGGTTGGTACTACTTTTACCTCCACCTCATGACCCCTGAGGAAGGTAATAAGAGTTGAAGGTTAAGTTGATCAATAACAGCCAATTGTTTGACCAGGTATGTTTCATTACTTCCATTAAAAAAACTAGGATCAGAAAACTTACAGCCAGCTGATCATGGGGAGATTTTCTGAAGGATGGCACACCTGAGAGGGCATGAAACCTCTGCATATTTTCCCATATACCTGGCCCTAGGTGTGTCTTTCATTTGGCTAGTTACCTATATTTTTTGTCATAAACTTTTATAACAAAATGAGAAATAATTATTATTTTTTCCCTGAAATTTGTGAGCAACTCTATCAAATTAATGAAATTCAATCAGGAGACTGTGGGAACCGTGATTTTCAATTGGGTGATTAGAAGCACAAAGCACAACATGTACTTGTGACTGGCATTTGAAGTGAAGACTGTATTGTGGTACTTAGCCTTCAGTTTGTATCTTCACGTGGAAAAAAATCAGAATTGGAGTACAGAAAAGAATTTTTCTTGATGTATATAAAAATCCCTTCCAACCCCACATCTTGTGGTAGTGTTATATTGAATTACTCTGTGGATAGTGAATGAAAAAACTTACTTTTTCAGATTACTTAATGAACTGGTTGCTATATAGAATTAAAAAGAACTCTTGAACTAGACTGAAACTACTACATGGATCTACACATGAAACCACTTATTTTCTAAGTCAAAAGGGGTTAAAAACAACAAACCAAAAACATATACAGTGTAATCTAAAGGAACATATAGACTAGAGCCATGTCTCAATTACTTATAAACCTTGAGAAAAATTTCTTCATTTTTCTAGACTTCAAATGTTAACTTTAAAGAAAAAAAAAACCTGAAGTTTAAGACTACAAAAACTAAAACAAAGGGGCTGGAGAGGCACTTCAGCAGTTAAGAGCATTTACTGTTCTTCCAAAGGACCCAGGCTTAATTCCCAGTGCCCAAATGGCAGCTCGCAACCACCTGCAACTCCAGGGGGATCTATTGTCTTCTTCAGGTCTCTGTAGGCACCAGGCATGGATGTGGTGCACTTATATACCATGCAGGCAAATCACTTATACACACAAAATAAATAAAATCTTTTAAAAAGGATCAAAACATAAAGCTTAATAATAAATATGTTCTTTAAACTACATGTATGTTACATACATGCCCATTATCACTGTGATTCACTTGACCAAAATCAGTCTTGAAGTTTTTCCACTGCCCTGTATTTCTTAATTTGCCTGATTAATTATAACCACACCTTTGTACAGTTAGGTCTAATGTGTTTCCCCAATTTGAGTGTCTCTTTTTTACTTCATAACAGGAACTTCAGTACATAGAATAATACATCCTAGGTACATGGGAGAAGCTCAAACAACCATTGTATTGAAAGAGTGGAATTGGAGCTTATACTTAAGATAACATTGCATAATTAGATATAGCCACAAGACTATGAGGGGATAAGAGGGAGGAGGCTAAGTCTGTATATTTTTTTAAGATCCATTCAAATAATTTCCCTTTACAAAAGATTGTACTTGATCATAAAACATCTCATTATTCTCTAACTGAACTAAGCGCTCAACTTTTTTTTTTCTTTTCGTTTCTTACATCAAATACTGTTCTAAGCACCGTTCTTTTCTTTTTAATACCAATGGGTCACTAAAGAGGTTAAGCAAATGTTTGCCACGGTCTTGATGGGAATGAACTAATACAACCATTAGTAACAAAAAACTCTATGTCTTGAATTATGACTCAACAAAGAGGAAATTGGTTACACTTAATTTTGTGTCTAACAGTCCACTGAATGTTAAATGGACTAAGAAACTATTTCAAGACTTCTTTGCATTTTCATTCAGGTAGTTTCTATACATACAAGCTAATAATGATTCCAAGTTGTTTAAATACCATATTAATTGAAGTAGTGGTCTGCCATTAACTTTGCAATTTGAAGAAATGATTAAAAATACCCAGAAATGCAGTTTGACTAATGAAAGGGAGTGGTAATTGAAACAAAATCTGTAGCTTCTTTCTTTCCACTGATTAAATTTACCAGATCATTACCTAAAGCTCTACTTTACATTCTATAGCCTTAATACAGTCTACAAGATAAGAGCAAGACTACAGGTAATATGGAAACTGGTGAAGTAGAGATCTGAAAGAAAGGTTAAAAGTAGAACCTGGCCCAGGCATTCTGCCTGCTCCTGGGGTACACTAAATGTCACCTATAGAATGATGGCTATTGTATTTGCACTAGTAGTTGAGGCTAGCCTCTCCAACCCCCCTTGGGTAGGTTAAACCATAAAACCAGGCAGCAGACCCAAAGTACATTTATTTACTTGGCATCTGAGGTGGGCTGCTCAATCAGTTGTCAGGGAAGGTGAGCCAGAGATGGCTTGTACATTCAAAATTTTTTTCTCATTGCCAAAAACCTACAGAATAACGCCTTTATTGGGATTAGAGTAACTGTACTTACCTTGGTCACTGGATGTAAAGTTGACATTTAAAAAGGCTAGGATGAATGTGACATCTCAGTTAATAAGTGAACCTTCTGGAAATATCCAAGAGAAAAACCACTGGCTCATTCATTTCTTGTACTGTTTTTACTATCTTCAGAATCTATATGGAATGCAAGCTCCAAGGTCTGAGCTGCTAATGTCCTGAAGTCAGTTCTAAACAAAATGATATGTGCAAAGTCCTTTTGCCCTTTTAAATGCAATTGTCAAAGGGCAAAGGTTGTGTCAAGAGCAGAAATGGTAGGAGCAGCAAAAGGGATATTAAGTCAGGGAGAATTTTAAGGTGAAGATACAAATCAGCACAGTTCCAAACAAGTTTGAGGCACTGTTCTAGTCACCATTTCATTAACTGAATTTGCATTTTCCAATCAAAAGATGACAATTATAAAGCTTTAATATTCTAAATGTCTTGAGAATTAAATGCAAGCCAAAAAAATTCCCTCAAAATGTAAAGATGACACACAGTAAATTCAGACAAAGAGAAAATTTTTTCTCAGTACCAATAAGAAAACTGAGCTGAGTGGCCCAAGTCTATAATCCAATCTAACTTGGAAAGCTGAGACAGGAAATTCCCAAGCTGAAAGCCTGCCTGGACTGCAAGGTGAGTTCAAGGCCTGCCTGAGCAACTATCTGAAGCTATCTCAAGATGACAAGTAAAAAGGGAGTATATAGTCCAGTGGTAGTATGCTTGCCTAGCATTCATGAGATGCTAGGTTCAAGCCTTCAGGACCAATGAAAATAGAGCAAAATAATACACTAATAAATATCTAAGAGATTGTCACTTGGAATCATAAATTACATTAGAAAATAAGCACACCAGTTAGAAACAAGGTCATCTCTTTGTTATACTGGTATGTGAAACATATATACTGGTATATGATATTGAGGAGGGCATGCCCTCACCATTTCCTTTCATTTAAAATTTTATACTAGAATAAACATTTCAGGATGCTAGGTTTATGTTCAAAGTGATCAGAAATGTATGTACCCAAGAAAATGTTAACAGGACAGTTATGGTCAAGGACAAGCATGTGTAAAATAGCTGTATTTACTACCTTTTATTCTAGATACAAATGATTACAGGCAGTTATAAAAACCACATTTCTTGATCATAATCTAACAATGCAACATTGTGAATTTTAATATAGATTTCTGTAGCACTCAAATTTAATACATAAATTTCATCCTCAAAAATGGAAACAAAAGTAGTGATGTAATAATTATGAAAATGTCAATAACTAATTACATGCCTGAATTAAACAATTTTTTCAAATTATCTTTACATAGCAGCAATGATAACATGTTGGTATTGTAGACTACAAGAATTATTTCCACCGTACTAACTTAATTCTGGCTTATACAGCTTTAATATTCTAAATATCTAAAAAAAGTGCACTCACCTGACCAAGTTCTTCATTAAGGTCTGATGTGTTAACCAAGGCTCCTTCATTAATTTCTTCATCAAAAAAGTCTTTATCCCATGAAATAAAAAAGGATCCTAAAAATTTTTGCATTTCTACTGTGACGTACATGGAGACAGGAATAATAAAGTTGAAGAGAACCATGAATGATAAAAAGTCAGTGAACATTTTCAAAACCTAAAATAAAAGAATTGGTTCGTGTTAATTAGATTCAAAACTCCCTCAAATGAATATAAAGAAGTGGCTTTCTTTTCATTTTAATTCTTAAAGAGTTATTACTATAAAGAAACTGCCCAATGATATATCATTGTATCAAAAATTACCACAGTATATGAGAACATTTTAGAACACTCTGAATTTTATCATTATTCTTAAGTGTATGTACCTTCCACTTTTTCACTTCATTAAGTTCTCTGCTCTTTCCACCTCTAGATATGAACATGCAATCAAAGTTTATAGGTAGGTATTATTCACGCTCATATTTGATTAAAATGCCAGCAAGTTTGTTACCTTCCTTCAAACTCTCAACCAAAAAGAAGCATAGACGTCTAAAATAAATTTTTTAAAAAAGTCTAAAATTGGGAGCCTTGCTCAGGAGCCGTAGCCCGGGCCACACTTGCCACATTTGTGTGTGCTGTGTGGCCGGTCCACGACATGGCATGCGGGGTAAACCTGAAGTGGCCCATGGAGTTCGAGGTGGCCTTGCCACATTTGTGTGTGCTGTGTGGCCGGTCCACGACATGGCATGCGGGGAAGTGGCCCATGGAGTTCGAGGTGGTGCTTCTGAGCCCTGATTCCCTGAAATGGTGGCGCTGTGGCCCTCTGCCTGGCCCCACTCCAGGCCTCAGGCCACCAGCTGAAAAGCTGCTGCCGCTTCAGGTGCAAATGCAGCCAGGGATTGTCCAGCAGCCAGCTGGGCATCGAGCGGTCACCTTCCGACTCCCAACCAAATTTTTCAGAACATAAAGCAAGAATATAGTCGTTATCAGAGGTGGAGACATTTAGAAGTTGTTCTCAGAGTGAAGCCTGCACTTCAGAAAGCCAGCCTCACTCCTCAGCACTCACAACACCTACTTCTCCAGGTTCCTCCTGGATGAAGAAGGACCAGCCCACTTTTACCCTTTGACAAGTTGGAATAATCTATGAGCGGCTTTTAAAAGCCTATGAAGATAAAATCCGGAAGAGTAGGAGCAGATCCTTAATACCAAACTAGCAGAACAGTATGAATATTTTGTGAAATTCACACATGATCAGATTATGAGGCCATAAGGAACAAGGCCTACAAGCTATGTATCCTGAAGCCTTCTTGCCTATCTGGGTACTGGGTCTGACCTCAAGAGATGACTGCTCTACACTTTTTGCAACTGGTTTGATATCACATTTCAGCTCCAACTTTGCATCCTGAGAACACTTAAATGTTTCTGCAGGTCCATTTTATACAACTTGAAAGACCTTAAAACTTTCTGGCTGCCACAAGCCTATCTTTCTTTTTGCCCATCCAATAAACAGCTGTGCCCTACTGTGATAGGTTTTCAAACAAAAATACCTGGAGCAGCAGTTTAGCAAAACATGCCTTCAGTGGCACTCAACAAATGGAGTTTCCATAAGCATAGTTCTGTAAGAACTGTGTGTGAGACTGTGTGTATATGTATGTGTGCTTTAAGTTATTATTTGTATTGTGCAAAAATATTTTGATCTTGGGGATTCTGGCTGTGAATTTGATGCACAACAATTTTGGTTACAAACATTTGCTTGGTCTACAGAAGATCATTAATGTTTTGTGACCATATAACTTGTAACACTGAGTTGTTTTATGTGTAGGTATTATTGTTAAATACAGGGACTGTTTCCAGGCACAGACTATGAATCATAAGTTACGGTGGACATTAGATGTGATTATGATATAGCGAAGGTCTGTTGTCCTAAATTTGCAAATAATGTGGTGACAAATTAGAACAAACTACAGACAGGTGACAAATTAGAACAAACTAGAGACAGGCCATCGACACATGGACTCTGCCTAGCTGCGCTGCAAAAATACTTTAACTCCAAGCCTTAAAATACCCTGTGGAGTCTGAGCTCACCTCATTCATACAATCAAAGAGCTCCCTGGACACTGAATTTCTACAGGGAAAGGTCTCCCCTGAATCAGGGTATGCTCGAGAGCATAGCACAGGGGAGCACTGGGCCAGGCCAGGCCTTGCAGCACTGCTACTCGGGAGGAGCCATTTCACCTTGCATCAGTTTTAAACATAGAATCTGGATCCTTTGGTCAGGTTCCCTCAGACTCTTCTAAGGTGTCCATGTTCAACTGTTAGAGCTTGGTTTTGGCAACCCTTTGCCCGAAGTTGCTTACTGGCTGTTCTTTGCCTTGGTTCTGAGGCTGTGGAACAGAAAGCAGCCTCTGTTTTGAGGAGGTGGGAGTTAAAGTATACGTGTATTTTTACTGTGACATGTTCAGGACCACACTTTACAAAATACCTTATTTCCTTTATTATTGCTTTGGAAAGGAAAGTTCTATTAAAATTGTTTTAGTTTAAATATAGAATACCTTTTTTATATTGTGGCTTTATTTTGGAAAATTCTTGAGTTTAATTTAAATGTATGCTAATATCTTCCAAAGTAAGGTACTATTCAGAGACAGTTGTTTAGATTAGATGGCTTAAGGAAATTTCTGGGATATTCACATTTGGAAGATTCCTTATTAATGAATGTCTTTGACTTAAACCTAACCAGAAACTGCAACATTATTCTTTGTACATTTTCATTATATAGTATTAACAAGCTTAGTTGCAAACAAATAAAATACCTAGGCTATTTGTTAAAAAAAATCTAAAACTGCAAAAAAATTTGATGGTTTAGGGCCATCATTAACTGCCGCCCCCCACACACAAATAAGCCAGATATTGTAGTACTGACTCTTATAAACAAACATAATCTTAACTAATGACTTTTATGCTAACCCTAGCAAAACCATGTGCTCCGGCGTCTTTTGGCCTGGGCACCTATCCTATTCCCTGGCAACCTCAATTTGGTACTGCATCCAAAATGATAATGAATGAAAGTAGGCATGCTTGAGAATTAACATATCAAAGGGCTGAAAAGTGGTGCACCCATCACTGCACACAGTGAAGGTTGGGAAGGAGTGACCTTGGCTCGGGTGAATGAGATATTCTAGAAATAAGAATGAAAAGGTCAGATCCTATGTTAAGATTAGGGTGAAATTGTACTTCCCCAATTGAAGCTGGAGAAACCATTTTGAATAAAATTATGGCTGGGGCCAGACTCCAAACATTGTTCAAGAGCCAGAGTTCCAGATACAGTTCTATCAGAACGGTTCCAGGAGACAGTTCCAAGAGGTATCTAGGGAAACGTGTGTCCTCTGAGTTTAGGCTCACTCTTAAAGATGGAATTTAAGGGTTAGGTTATTTGTTCAGGTAATTATAATGTTGGCGAGCAACATCACAAGGCATAGGTGCCACATGCCTTTAATCTTAGCACTCCTCAGATGGATCTCGGTGAGATGGAGGCCAGCCTAGTCTACATAGAGAGTTAGAGCCCAGCTAGGGCTACAGGGAGATCCTGTCTCAAAAAATCAAAACCAAGTTAAAGCAAAACAAAACCAAAAAACAAACCCCCAGCAAAACCAAAATCAAAAATACCCCCAACCAACCAACCAACCAATCAACCAATCAACCAGCCAACCAACGAGCCAGCCAGCCAGCCAGCCAACCAGCCAAACAAAGAAAAGGTATCATTTTTCTGAGAAGTGTTTCAGTAAAAGGGGCCTAGTCAAAGTTCTAGAGTCAACAATTCTCATAGAAAATAAATTACCTTCAAAGTCTCTCTCTCCTTCTGAGTCTTTTGGTTATACCAAGGTTCATCATTGTGTGGGCTGCTTTGCCAAACATATTTCAGAGTAGTGCATACTGCAGCTTTGGTCAGTAAGATAATTAAATATACAATCAAGAAGGCATTAATAGATCTGAAAAATAAGATTGCATGTCTGATTACTTGATACCAACAAAGTATAAAATACACTGATTATCTAAAGCTTCTCCTGTGTATGATTTGCAATCATGGCCCAAGATTTTGTTGTTTTGTTTTGTTTATTTTGGAGACAGGGTCACTCTATAGCCCCAGATGGCCTAGAACTTGCTATGTAGACCAAGCTGGCCTTCATTTCACAGAGATCCAACTGCCTATGCTTCCCCAGTGCCGTGATTAAAGGCGTGCACCATTGCACCTAGCTATAGCCCAGGTTTTTATGTAGGGACCTCAGTTACCACAGCTGCAGAATCACTGTCAAGTGAAAAAATGGATAATCCAGCATTGAACTGTTTATTGATCACTAATGTTTCACAAGATACAATGTCTGGCTAGTCAAACACATTTTTATAAAGTAAGATTCCTATAAAATGACCGTGAACAGACACATATATACATGTTATTACCTACTCAATCATTATAGAAGGTGTGGCTTGTCTCCACACCCTGAATGCCCATACTAAGTGTTTGGCATTAAGGGTGGTGTAGCAAATGTAAAACCTCAAGCTCAGCTTATATTCTCTCTCAGCACTATTTGAAAGAAAAGCTCTGGAGAAGGCATCATTTGACTCATGCCCATGCATATGAAGAGAGAACTCTACAGGGCATGGTGCCAGTGATGACTGTAATCCTAGTACTTGGGAAGCAGAAGCAAGAGGATCAGAAAACTAAGTTCATCCTCAACTATGTAGCAAGTTCAAGACCAAGTTGGGCTACATGAGACCCTGTCTCAAAAATGTTAAAAAGGGGGGGGGGCTGGAGAGATGGTTCAGTGGTTAACAGCATAGGCTGCTCATCCAAAGGACCCGGGTTCGGTTCCCAGCACCTACACGGCAGCTAACAACTGTCTGTGATTCCAGTTCCAGGGGATCCAAAGCCCTCTTCTGACCTCCACAGGCACTGCATGACATGGGGGCACTTACATATATGCAGGCAATATTCACACCCATAATTAAAAATAAATAAAATATTTTTTTAAAAATGAAAAAAAGGAAGGGAAAAAAGGTATAAATTTACAGTTTAGGTAAACTGCCATTTAATAGCTATGTAAGCTTAGATAATCCAGTTATTATCTTGAAGACAATTTCTTTGTCTGTATAGTGGATAGCAGCTAACATAATTTTAGTTTTCTGCCATGGTTATTTGGAATTACTAAGGAAGTAACTATTTCAATTAATAATGACTTAAAAAAATCGTGGTACACACTAACTTTTCAACAGCAGAACGCTTCTGTGATTTCCCTTGATAGTTCAAAGCCATTTTGGTTTCCATTCCAGTGTAAACAGCAACTCCTAAGGAATAATAGAGCACAATAAAAACTTAGTTGTAAGTGAATTTGTCAACCAACCACCTATTAGGTTCTGTCAATTTTTCACTCTATAAAGGTGAGAATTCTAAGTCTTTCCACTAACCAACTGATATATCATTAACAATATAATTTAAATTATATAAAGTATTCGTCATATTCATGGTAATTTACTATCTTATAAATTCTCAACATATAAATAAGGATTTAGAATAAAAGGCAACATCTTCCATGTTCACTATAAAACATGCATTATTTATTTCCAAGCTTTACAAAACATTACTTCTGACAGTATATCTTTAAAATTGTTTACCATATATCTTCTTGGTATTTTTAAGTTTAGCTCCTTTCAGCAAGAGATTTTCAGGTCCTAAAGACCTAAATAAAAAACAAGTATAATTTATCCAAAGAATGCACAGCATCAGCAACACTAGAGACAGATTTTGACATACATCTATCTCCAAGGGGTTCAGAATGTATTTATTTCTACCATATGCTTACTCCCCAGGATGAGAAGAATGATCCCTCCCTCTGAAGTGACTTGAGGGTATAGCACAGATGGAAGCACAGTACAGGAGTAGCCAGAAACATTCAGAGGTAAAGAAATACACAGAAGGATCAAAAAATTATGAGTCATAGCAAGACTAGAGCTGCAAGCAGTGAAAAGCAAAGGGTCACAGATAAAAAACTAGGAAGGCAAATGTCAAAGTGCAAAAAGCACATAACATCTTTATAGGGAGTAAACCTGACTTCTGGAGGATCATTGAGCACCCTGTATTTAACTTCTTTTTGAGTATGATTATAAAAGCCAAGTGGAAAAACTGAGGCAATTAACTACATGATAGAAGAGGAAAGAAATCATCCTTGCTTGTATAAACTGTCTTATAAATGATCAACTTTACATTTTACTGAGGACTAAATAATTCTTCCAACATCATTCCCACTGTTTAGTTCCTCAATTACTCTCCCATAAACCATTGTTCTCCAGGTATTTTTCCAATGTATTGAATCACTACACAACCAAGGAAAATATATGCAATGGTCAGAACAAGTTTGGAAAGAGCAGCCAAAGGGTATAGAGCACTGATCTTTTATTTTTTAATTAAAAAGGTTCTATTTATTATTATGGTGTTTGTGTGGGTGTGCATTCCATGGCATGTGTTAAAGGCAGAGGACAGTTTTATGAGTTGGCTCTCTTCTTCTACCTTTATGTGGGCTCTGAGAATTGAACTCAGGTTGCTAGGTTTGCACAAGTGCTTTTATCTGCTGAACCATGTGGACAGCCCAATGGAGCTTTGTTTTTTTCAGAAACCCTACATATTACATCAAAATCCTCCATCCAACACACAGAGCAGTACCACCACAACCCTACCAATCACAAAGTTACCTCTATTTTACTTTCTTTAAGGAAAAGCATTTGGCTATGTTAGTTGTTTAAAAGAGAAATACATCCCTTGTCCCAAAAGGATAGATTGAAGGAATAGCAAACTAACCTGGCAACAGCCTCGATACTATTACTATAGATACTCATTCGCCCAACAAACCTGTAAAAAAGTAATAGCAAGCGTGTTTTCTATATCCAGTTGAAACAAAAATCAGCAATTAGAAGTTAAACTACAAACAAAAAATATAAGACTGAATGGCAAAATTCTAATAAGTTTCTAGAAAAAAAAGGTTATACTGAAATAATAAAGTATACATTTTAAAATCTTTAAAATAATATTGTGTATTTTAAGAATATAAACAAGGATTCTAAATTAACTTGGCATTATACATGTATACAACACCCTCTCTGCTTTACACCTTTAAATAATGTGGTTTGTATTTTAGATGTGTGTGAAGAATGGTTTCTGATATTATAATACAATTTTCAAAACCATTAGTTCAGTAGTTCTTATACTTGAGCCTGCATACAAATCATTAGGGCAGGCAGCTTATTAAATCACAGATTTCTGAGTCCTATCCTTGAACTTCTGTTTCAGATTTTCAGGTTATGATGGAATGGTTGGTCCCAGGTCCAACTTTTGAACTGCATCATTAGTCTTACACACAATGAACACTTGATTAAGTATCTTGAAAATGCTGGATTTGTATCCTGCAGCTGATCTGATCCAATCACTTAATATGGCTAGATACAAAGTAACCTACATTTCTGCAAAATTGGGTTAAGAATGTCTAATCCCTCCTTAATGAGAATGTTATACTTACTTTGCAGTCTTCATTATAAAATGTTTTCTTTAGAGAAAGTATAGTTTTTACTGTAACACATATAAATATTTTTATATATAAAACGTGAAGATGTGCTCATTCAATCATTATGTATCAATTATGGCAGCATTGTATTAAGTGATGAAGATATACTAGTAATCACAAAAAGCATATTCCTTGCCCCAAGAAAGATAAGTGAATTGACAAGTAAAATGCAAGATATTGCTATTACAGTGGTAAAAATACAAGATATTTTGAAGTCACATTGTAAGGGATTTGGTATATTCTAGGTAAATTAGGATAACCTGTTCGCCCTAAATTCTTCCTGAAAAATTTGGGGATTTTCCTAATACATATCCAAGTATATATATATTATGTGTACAAAACATACAGACACACTACATCTCACTTAGGCAGAATAAGCCAATCCCTTTTCTACAATTCCATGGAATTTGCACATATTGCACTGCAAGCTTAGCTTTACTGTTTGATCTCCTTTGTTCACTGTGAGCTCCTTGAAAGAAGAAAAAGCTGCTTTTACTCTCTGCTCCTAGTTTTTAATAGCAAGGTGAATATAAAGGAGGAAGTCAAAGAGAAATAATGGAACAAAGGGAGAGGGAGATCAACATTCTCATAGTAAAGTAATTTTTTCGTCTACCGTTTAGTATTAACAGTAAACCAAATTTATCCACTTGGTTCTCCATTATGACCAACAACATGAATTAACATCATGCTTTTACCTAGGCAATGAATGCCATCTGTAATAATAGAATAGAATGAAATTAATTGGACTACATGAGTATAAAAACTAATACTAGTTTACTGGTTCAACTTAATGCTTTATTGTGAATAAGAAGCAGCCTTTTTACAATCCTCAGTTTATCATGATCATTGTAAGAAAGATGAAGTGCCTGCTAATTGCATTGCCCCATATTGTCTTCTTTGTTTAATGTTGGATAACATGTAAAAAGCTTTATTTTTGTTTTAATTAACTTTGAGTACCCCATCTGTCTAATAGATGAGGCTTATAGGGTAACAATTCAAAAAATTGATGGACAACCATGTTTAGAAGATAAAATTAAAAAAAGTCATAGGATGCCTGGACCCACAAAGATTTATCTTAGACTGGTAATTAACAAGGCAGATTTGATTCACTTCCCTGCCAGGAGGAAGAACAGCTCACAAAAACATACACAAGAGTAGGCTAGGCTGTTAAGTAGGTGGGAGTTTCTTTGCAATACTGGTGGCAAAAAAAGAAGAGCTAACAGCAATAAAGTGAAACTAGGTGATTCTTACTTGTAGAGGTCAGGCTGAGGCTGCTCACATTCAATTGCTGCTTGGAGGTTATCAATGGATTCGGCTGTACACAGTGCAATGGTATCCCGTACTGCATAATGTGTCTACATGAAAGCAGAAGAAAAACCATACATGTTTCTTTTTAAACTCATATAGTCAATGGATTCCAGAAACATAGCATGTTAGAATAAGAGGGTTCAGCAGAGGATTACAAATATTGATGCACGTTTCCCACCAAGCAAGTTGCATGGCACAATTCTTAAAATAAATTATAATTAACTAGAAAGGTAATTCTGGCCCAAAGGAAGTTCAAAGATAAAAGAAAAAAAAGGCCTAAAAACTCTTGCTGATACTGACAATTGAGATTATTGTTTGTAAATCTTCCCATGAAGATTTTAATATTCTTTGTTTTTTTTTTAAAAAAAAAACATTTTGATTCACCCTCCTTTCTCAGCCACCAGTCTCTCCTCCTGGCCTGGGTCCTGTCCCATTCATTGTCTTGGTGCCCCAGACACCATGGGAACAACCACTGCTTCCTGATCCTTTGATCCAGACCAACCCAGTTCCTTCCAGGGTCCCCAGGAGCCCTCTGGGGCCTGACCCCACCCTCACCTCCCTCTGCTTCCCTGGGCCTGCACCACCTACAGGCCTCTCTCTTGGGTAAGTCCATCACAGCCTCCGTACCTTAGATCCCACAGCCTTGTTCACCCTCCCATCTCCCTCGCCCGCCTCTCATCTCTCCTCCTAGCCTGGGACCTATCCCATTCTTTGTCATAGCGCCCCACACACCAGGGGAACCAACACTGCTTCCTGATAACTTACATCCAGACCAACCCAGTTCCTTCTCAGGTCCCCAGGAGCCCTCTGGGCCTCGCCCCGCCCTCACGTCCCTCTGCTTCCATGGGCTTGCACAACCCGAAGGCCTCTCTCCAGGGTAACTCAATCACTCCCTCTATGCCTTGATGCCCCAGCCTCATTCACCCTCCAATCTCTCCAGCCCATCTCTCCTCCTAGCCTGGGCCCTGCCCCATTACTTGTCTTGGCGCCCCAGGCACCGGGGAAAACCACTTCCTGATCCTTTGCATCCAGACCAACCCAGTTCCTTCTCCAGTCCCCAGGAGCCCTCTGGGCCTGGCCCCACCCTCACCTCCCTCTCCATCCCTGGGCTGCACAACCCGCCAGCATTTTCCTGGATGCCAGGGCTGACTTTTCCACTTCCTGATACTCTGCATCCAGACCAACCCAGTTCCTCAGTGCAGTCCCCAGGAGCCCCTGAGGACTCTTCCTGCCCCCATCTCCATTTGCATCTCTAGGTGGCATGGCCACCAGCTGCCCGAGACAAGCAACTTTCCTGGTCCTTGCTCCCAGGCCAGTCCAATTTCCAAATTCCTAAGACCAAAATCTTTCCTGGAGGTATCCAGAACTTAGTAGAAAGCATGAGAGCATCTGATCCTCATCTGATTGGGCCTCTGTGGGAACGCCTGAAGAAAAAATCAATCAGGCCACTCCAATATAAAATCAAAAGAGAGAACCAGAACCTTAGAAGAACCAGATTTTCATGCTCAGAAAGTAAACCACAAAGGCACATAAAGTTTACAAAAAGCAGACCTAAACTTGAAGTCTTGAGTCTAACGCAAGAATGAGAAACTACAAAAGAAATTCAAATGTCAAAATCATAGAGAAAAAATAATAACATGAAAAACTAAAATAACATATCCTCACCAAATACCAGTAAACCTCTAGAGGAGCACAATGAGAATCCCCTAGAGACAATGCAGGACATGGAACTCAAAAGAACAATGATGAA